ACTCTGTTGCCCAGGCTGGAGTGCAGTGGCGCGATCTCGGCTCACTGCAACCACCGCCTCCCAGGTTCAAACAATTCTCCTGCCTCAGCCTCCCAAGTAGCTGGGACTACAGGCACACGCCCAGCTAATTTTTCTGTATTTTTAGTGGAGACTGGGTTTCACCGTGTTGGCCAGGATGGTCTCAATCTCTTGACCTTGTGATCCACCTGCCTCGGCCTCCCAAAGTGCTGAGATTACAGGTGTGAGCCACCACGCCCGGCCCTTCTAGTAATTTCTGTTGACTCCTACCCATACCACCTAGCCTGCAACCCAAGCCATCTGGACAGAAGTGACCCTAGGTCAGCTGCTCAGTGGTATGGTAGGTTTGGTAAGAGTGGGAAGGGTGCAGCACAGCCCCATCCCCGCTGCTGGGACCAGAAAGGCAATGTTGGTGAGGCTGGTCTCTAACTCCTCAGGTGATCTGCCCACCTTGGCCTCCCCAAGTGCTAGGATTACAGGCATGAGCCACTGGGCCTTGGCTCTTTTTTTTTTTTTAAGACGGAGTCTCACTCTGTCACCCAGGCTGGAGTGCAGTGGCACGATCTTGGCTCACTGCAACCTCCGCCTCCTGGGTTCAAGCCATTCTGCCTCAGCCTCCCCAGTATCTGAGATTACAGGCACGCACTACCACATACCCAGCTAATTTTTGTATTTTTAGTAGAGACAAGGTTTTACCATGTTGACCAGGCTGGTCTCAAACTCCTGATCTTGTGATCTACTCGCCTCGCCCTCCCAGAGTACTGGGACTATAGGCATGAGCCGTGCCCAGCCTAAATAAATATTCTTTTAAGAAGCCAAAGCAGAAAATGATCAAGAAGGAGTATGTTAATGTCAGAAGAGGTTTCTGCTGCTGCCAGGTTGAGTTAAGAGAAACATGTCGCTTGGTTAGTGATGCGGCTATATTGGTCTTTTTAATGAGAATAATCTCTGCTGAGTGATGGGGCTGGAACCTAGATTGGAGAAGGTTTGAATGAATGGAAGGTAAGAAAGTGACTAAATGAGCATAGAAAACTGCTAAGAAGCTTGGCAGTTGCTGGTGAAAGAACATTACACAGGTAGGGCAAGGGTTACTGTCTTGCCAAACAGGACAGAACCCCAAGCCTCTGTGTAAGATGCTAACTTCTTGTGACAGAGGATCGTATTGATTTCCCCTTGTGATTGTACAATTAGCAAAACCCAGGCTTTAAGAAACCCTGCAGGACAAATGCCCCAGGCTCCTCCACAGATAACCTTTGAGGGAAAGACAGGGTTTCGGGGAGCATGTGGGGATTGTAACAGGCTTTAAAAGATACATGGTAATTTTAGAAATGAGCAAGTCTAACCTATGATACCTAGGCATCCACACCTGGGTGATAAAATTATAAAGAAATGGCGGGTGTGGTGGCTCATGCCTGTAATCCCAGCACTTTGGGAGGCTGAGGTGGGTGAATCACCTGAGTGAGGTCAGGAGTTTGAGACCAGCCTGACCAACATGGTGAAACTCGGTCTCTACCAAAAATACAAAATTAGCCAGGTGTAGTGGCACATGCCTGTAATCCCAGCTGCTTGGGTGGCTGAAGCAGGAGAATCACTTGAACCCGGGAAGCAGAGGTTTCGGTGAGTTGAGATTGAGGTGAGTCAAAATCATGCCGAGTCGAGATTGTGTCATTGTACTCCAGCCTGGGCAACAGTCGCAAAAAAAAAATTATAAAGAAATACACGAAGGTGATTACTGTAAGTCAAAAGAGTGACTTGTTCAGGGGGAAGGAAGGAGCTAGATTGAGTCAGGGCACATGGTGGGGTTTCTGAGGTGACTGGCACAGTTCTATTTCTTGATTTGGGTGGCAGTTACAAGGGTATTTGCCTTATCATAACTCCTCAAACTCTAGAGGAAGAAGTCTGACTGTGAAGAAATGATCAAAGCCAGGCAGTGGCTCACACCTGTAATCCCAGCACTGTGGGAGGCTGAGGTGGGCCGATCACTTGAGCTCACGAGTTTGAGACCAGGCTGGGCAAGATGGTGAAACCTGCCTCTACTAAAAATACAAAAACACAGAAAAATTAGCCAGGTGTAGTGGGGCATGCCTGTAGTCCCAGCTATTTCCAGAGCTGAGGCAGGAGAATCGCCTGAGCCCAGGAGGTTAAGGCTGCAGTGAGCCATGTTCACACCGGTGTATTACAGCCTGGGTGACAGTCAGACCCTGTCTCAAAAAACAAACAAACAAACAAAAAAACACCCCTCCCCCAAACAAAGAGAAAAAAGAAAAGATTAATATGAAGGGAGTTGTGAAATTAAAGAAGGTGCATGGGTGCGGGTGTATGTCTGTCTGTCTGTCTAACAATGGCAGAAGCAGGCAAGTGCTACCGTGATGATCATTCTTGTTCCTCTTGCCATTTTGTTCCACAGTTTACACGCCCTTCCACTTTGTCTCTGAGGCAGAAAAAGCAAGGGTTATTCTCTCCATTTTATGGTTGGGAAAACTGAGGCCTGCCTGAGTGTGTGACTTGCGCCAACTTACTCTGGTCATCTAGGGCAGAGGCTGCCCAAAGCCCAGGCCTTCTGCCTCCAGTCCCCAGCCCAGGATTAGGCAGAGCCAGCTTCTGGCCCATGGCTGCCCTGTCTGTTGCAGGAATCACTGAGATTCTCATGAACAGACCTCGTGCCCGTAATGCCTTGGGAAACGTCTTCGTCAGTGAGGTGAGAAAGGGTGGGCTCTAGGGTGGGCTCTAGGGTGGGCTGAGATGGGCTGGGAGGTATCTAACAGGGTGTCCTCTGTAGCTGCTGGAAGCTCTGGCCCAGCTGCGGGAGGACCGGCAAGTACGTGTCCTCCTCTTCAGAAGTGGAGTGAAGGGTGTATTCTGTGCAGGTAGGTTCTCACCCCTGCCCCTATCCTGGGGCTCTGCAGGGTGCCCACCAGCCTCCAGGGGTTGGGGGAAACCTTAGGTCAGCTCCAGCATGGGACTCATTCCCATTTTACAGATGTGAATGCAGAGACTCAGGGAGGAAAATTCCCTTACCTAAGATCACACAGCTAGTAAGAGGTAGGACAGACTTCAGTTTGAACTTGGCCTCTCTAACCCTTAGATCCTAGTTATTTCTGCTATGCCATGCTTTGTTTTGACCCTTCACGGGGTATATAAGAAGATGGAGTCCAAGATGGGTGCAGTGACTCATGTCTGTAATCCCAGCGCTTTGGGAGGCTGAGGCGGGTAGATCATGAGGTCAGGAGTTCAAGACCAGCCTGACCAAGATGGTAAAACCCCATCTCTACTAAAAATACAAATATTAGCCAGGTACAGTAGCAGGCATCTGTAATCCCAGCTACTCGGGAGGCTGAGGCAGGAGAATCGCTTGAACCCAGGTGGCAGAAGTTGCAGTGAGCTGAGATTGTGCCACTGCACTCCAGTCTGGGTGGAAGAGTGAGACTCCGTCTCAAAAAAAAAAAAATTAGCTGGGCATGGTGGCAGGCACCTCTAATCCTAGCTACTGAGGAGGCTGAAGCAGGAAAATCGCTTCAATCTGGGAGGCAGAGGTTGCAATGAGCTGAGATCGCATCATACACTCTAGCCTGAGGAGGAAAAAAAGAAAAGAAAATGAAGTCCAGAGATGCTCATAAGGTCAGTAGCCAGGATGGAACTCTGTGACCCTTTGCCTTCCAATAGGATCTCATTCCCTGTCACCGAAGCCCTCCACTATCCCTGTGTCATTTGGTCCTCACAACTGGGCAAGCACCATGAACTAACATTTTAGAGATTGGAGGAAAAACACACACCAGGCCCACAAGAGGCAAGTCAGCTGCCAGTGGAGCTGAGCTGAGAACAGACTCTGAGAGGGTAGTTGGAGAGGGGCCCACAGGGGCTACTGTGATGCAGGAGGAGGCTGTGGAGGGATAGGAAATGGGGAGCATGATGCTCAGGAGATTTTAAGGGGAGATGGCTCAGCCCTTAGGTCTGAGCTGTCAGAGTCAGGGTACCCTGCCTAGGGTCTGTGCTGACAAGTGTGCAGACCAGTCAGCCTGACCCAGCTTCCCTGGCTGAGGTCTTTACCCTACCCTAGCCTCTTCCTTTGGCTCCATCTCTGACCTCTGTCAAGGTCATGTCATACCTGTTCTTCCTCCCACCATTAGCTTTGCTTATCACCCTCCCAGCTTAGCACAGAGAAGGAAGGGGCTGCATGAGGCTCACTTCTGCCTCACCTAGCTCTAGAATCCTGGGTTAGTTCCTGCCCCTCTGGCCCTCAGTTTCCCCATCTGTCACAAAAGGGCTAGAACTGATCAAAGACTTCCAAAGGCTCTCTCAGCTCTGACTTCCTGCAGTCTAGGACTGTAAAAGAGTCTTACCCCCTACTTCCTGCTCACCCCTGCATCTGGCCTTTGAAGACCCCACCACAGTCACTCCTCCTGCTAAGGTGCTTGCCTACCTGTATGCCACTGTATCCTGTGCTCACTTCCGTTCTCTTTTACTTGACCTTTGACCTCAGCCTCCATGGACCTTGCTGATCCTGCCTGTAAAAATTAATTAATTTTTAATTTTCTTATTACTTACATATTTTAGAAATTGTAGGCCAGGTGTGGTGGCTCACGCCTGTAATCCCAGCACTTTGGGAGGCCAAGGCAGGCGGATCACCTGAAGTCAGGAATTCGAGACCACCCTGACCAATATGGTGAAACCCCATCTCTACTAAAAATACAAAAATTAGCTGCGCATGGTGGCAGGCACCTGTAATCTCAGCTACTCGGGAGGCCGAGGCAGAAGAATTGCTTGAATCCAGAACGCAGAGGTTGTAGTGAGCTGGGATTATGCCACTGCACTCCAGCCTGGGTGACAGAGCAAGACTCTGTCTCAAAAGATAATAATAATAATGCAGGCCGGGCGCGGTGGCTCAAGCCTGTAATCCCAGCACTTTGGGAGGCCGAAGCGGGTGGATCACGAGGTCAAGAGATCGAGACCATCCTGGTC